ATCTGGTAACTGAATTTTTCCCTTCCTACAATCTATTTGGACCATTTGAAGTAGCATAATTTAGTTAGTGCTGTTCATGGCCCGACCCATTACTTGAGAAGACTTTTTGGTTGATAGCCCACTTATTACCTATTGGGCCTCTACTATTCCTTAGCCTAAAAGCCACACCCTTACCTTCATATATGCTGTCTTGTTACTTTTGATGAGCGTGTGTGAATAGTGGTAGCCGTGTTTTGAGAGAGAGAGGTAGTGTTCCTCCTTTGGCTGTGTGCTTCCCGGTCGATTTTGCTGTGTGCTTCCCGGTAGATTTTGTTGTGTGCTTTATTGTGCCTTGTTTTCCCCTTCTTCACTAGCCTTTGTGGCTGAACCTTGGGCTACCATACCATCCACACCGTTGCCCTTTGTGGGCAACCCGTAGAAGCAGCCGGTTTTGGAGACTTTAGTTTGGGATTGGGTCGTGTCGACTGAGCCCGGTTTTTGGTGAAGTTTGGAGTCCATTTTCTAACAATAGCTATTGCTTCCACATCCTCTACCGGAAAGTGTGATTATTCGAGGTGTAGGGGCATTTAGTACAACATGAATTATATTTAAAAAATTAAGAAGAATTGGTAAAATCATGAGAACCAAAAGTTCAAATCAGACCAAAAAAAGGTTACTGGAGAATGTGAAATCAGAGAATGAGCAAGTTTGCCTTTAATTTTTTTTTAGCCTTTTTTCCTTTTAACCCTTGCAGCATCTTACTCATCCTACATTTCATATATATTTATTTTATATGTACATATGATTTTGATAAAATTTAAATGAATGTATTTCTTTTACTGTTTAAATTTTTAGATGAAGTAGTAACATGTATTAAAACAAGGCAAAAGGTCTAAATTCAAGCCTTACCCCAACTCCAGTGCACGTTTTAAAATATAAATTAGTCTGTATGGGGGATAAGTCCAGTAAAGATAAGATTTTAAAGAATACACGTGTTACATTTCTGATAATTAATTCTTTTAAATGAGATGGTTGATAATATATGTATAATGTACATGTATAAACATACGCATGCTAGATATAAAACAAGAAAATACATATGTACCTATGTATGTTTTTTGAGTATCTATGAAGAGAGTAAAGACTTTCTAAAGTTGTACGAGTAAATATTACTTTTAGTGCCGTATTGAATTTCATATGTGTTGAAGTCACGCCAAGCTCACGTGCCAGAGAGCAGTTATGATCACATGGGACACGTGTCCTAGAATGTTCATAAATTACAGAGGGAATCAAGATTAATGGAGAACCGTTATTAACGAATCTTTCCAAGAACAGAGAATTATCGTTACCTATCGAATTGCCCCTCGTGGAGTATTGGGCAATGACTAGTGGGGTGATTGCTTGTTTGTGCATCACGATCCATTTATCCTTGTGTTATACAAATGTTATTCAATCGACTATGGGCATGATCTATTACCCACAGGCTTACCTTCATTGGCGATCGTAGCATGTGTAGCTTAATCGCGTTTGCCTCAATATAGTGTTCTCAATCCTACTGACTAGTACGATGGCACCATCATGGGTTGTTCTTCATTCTGATCCTCTCCTCAATCGAGGAACATGGACGTTTAATCAGTTAAGTGCTCGTGGACAAACTCTACTAAATATGGTAGCATCGACTGAAAATAAAATTTATCTTGTGAAAATAAATAAAATGCACTATAGGTGGAACCCATGGAATCCTCGGATTAATAGTATATATACACAGAAGCACATGAGCGTTAAGACTGTATATATACACAGAAAAACTAGGATTAGATTCAGTGCATTAAACTAGATCCTTAGCTAGGCACTATATTGTATGGATCAAGATGCATAATTCAGTTCACTACACTTAAAAAAAATATTGAATGAACGGGAACTTATCGGGCAAATGCTTCTGAAGCTGCCTTTCTTGTTAAACCAAGTAACCTATTCATCCCCCTCTTCTGCTTCTCTGAATGAGCAGAAACTAACTCGATATCCTTTCGAGCTCTTTCTCTATCCAAGCCTCACTATTTTCTATCTTCACATCCATGGTTTCTTTGGACTTCTTATTTGTTATTCTTTCGAGTTTCCTCCTCTTTATTCTCTCTCTAATTCGAGTTATATCAATCTTACAACCTCTTATTGGCTCATGGTCACCACTGGCTACAATGACGCTATCCACACTATCAAAATCACCAACCCGGCACTGCTCAGTTTTTTTCACATCAGGTTCAGGACATGGCCGTTTCTGGTTGCTTTTGGCAATTACAGAATCGGAGTTCTCTCCAGCACATGTAAATGGGATCTCGCAAATCTAGCACGACGACTGAGCCACTTGATATGCATGATTCTGCACTGCCCGGAGCCATAGTAATATCAATATTCTGATAACTTTCTTCAACTAACGCAGTGGTGCTAGCAGATTTCTGATTAGAGTACTATTATCAGCTCGTTGTCACAATCCTCAACAACAGTATTTGCACTACTAGGCTTACTAATTTAATGGTGCTCAGTATGTGTTATGGTATCATGGGAATTACCAGATGACTGTTTCTGATTGCATTCGGCAGTTGCAGATTTAGGAAGTGCAGTTGCATTTGCCAATGAAATATTGCTTGAATCTTGCCTGATGACAGAGTCACTTGAAATGCATGATTCTGCACTATTGGATTTTCCTTCTCCAGCCAGAGGTTTTGGTTTTGATTTCCCACTAAATGATGACGGTAATGCCTGCTCGGTATTCATCCCTAGGGATCCAAGCATGTGTTGGATGGCCTCTGCAAAATTTACGACAAGAACTATAAATGAGAGTACAATAAATGGCAAATAATTGAATCCATGAAATTGTAAAAAGGACAGACCTCAATAGTAATAGAACATAAGAAAGGAAAAAAATGCGTAACTTGAGCAGGTTAGGAACATAATGAAAAGAAATGTCTTTGTACCAACCACCAATGTACCAACTACAAATGTTCGTAAGGTCAGGTGGGTGGTGTTGCCATATGAATTATTACACTTGTTGGGTTTTGATACCCAATAAATTCGGGCGATAATATTAAACCGTTTTTATTTGGATTATAATATTTCATAGGTCTTGGCCGATGAGTGAAGTTAAATATCGACATAACAATCGAACAAACCATTCCTATAACATATTTGGGCCATTTGAAATAATCTAATTCCATTAATGTTACTCATGGCTCGACCAATTACTTTGGAAGGCTTTTCAGTTGTAGCCCACTTATATTCTACTAGGCCTTATTATTTCCTATTGGGCCTAACTATATTCTAACCTAAAAGCCCACACCCTTACCTTTATATTGTCTGCTCGTTTCTGTTGCTTGGTGTGTGTGAAGTGGTAGCCGTGTGTTGAAGAGATAGGCTGGGCAGCATCCATTTGGCTTTGTGCTTCCCGGTTGCCTTGTCCTTGTTCTCTAGCCTTTGTGGCTGAGCCTTGGGGCTACTATATTCCACACCGTTGCCCTTTGTGGGCAACCCGAAGAAGCAACCGGTTGGGTGTTTGGTTTAGGATTGGGTTTGTCGAATTGTGGTGTTGATTGGTGTCGACTGAGCCAGGTTTTTGTGAAGTTTGGAGTCCGTTTTCTAACAACAAACTTGTACAACAAGGGATCCCAAATAAACTTAGACTGACTAAATGTATCCTTTTTCGACCCAATGCCATGAAATCTAATCTTTTGAAACCGCGCCAACTTGTGTAATATGTGTATACCTCTTAGTTATTCTGACTGGTTCTACTGGGATCCCACTGCTTCACGAATGGGAATCAGCTAATTATAGAAAACGAGAATCCCATGAACAAATATTGTTTTGCGAAGACTTTTCAGCATGTAGCCCAATCTTCTATGTCGACCATCCGCAGTAACTAAGTGAGAAAATGAGAAGTTAATATTGCAGTCTGATCATGTAATTAATGTTGCAACCAATACAATGAATCTAAAGGAATAAAAATGATTTTTTTTTCAGGATTCAATATGCAAAATCAAGGGGGGAAGACTTTTTAGCAAATACTCCTTCCGTCCCATATGCTTGCTTCCATTTTCACACAGATTAAGAATATGTAATTAATATTGTTGGAACAATAAAAATCAGACTTTTATTTTTCCTAATATATCCATATATTAAATAATGGTTTAAATATGTTGATAACAAGGCATATTAAATATGGATATATTAGAAAACTAAGAAATCAACTGTACTCTCAATAATGAAAGTGACCTATAATTTGGGATGTATGAAAAAATAAAGAAAGCCTATCTTTATGGAATAGATGAAGTAAATAACTAGCCTTTCAAATTTTTTGGGTGAAACATCAAATTGCATCCACAAAGCATTCCCATTTTCCGAAGGCATTTTCATCTTCTGAAATTTCACAGCAAGGCGAAGAGAACCTACTGCTATATAATGTGGTTTGTACTGCAAGCAAAGTGTCGTGCAGACCCTAAATCTTCCATACAGAAAAAGATTTACAGTCAGAATCAGAAGAGATAGAACATAAAAATCTTCAGTGATTTTTTATTTTTGGAAAATGATAATGAAATTAGAATGCCACATGAATAATTACGAATCATGATATATGATGATACTCTAGAAATATCAAGAGTGAAAGAAAAGACAACTACCAATCATTTTCAAAATTCCACGCTACTTTCACCACCTCCTTACCTGAAATTTTCAAATTCTTCATAGCTGCAACAAGTGGCTTATAAGGGTGTTCAATATTGAGATCAAAAGCAACAGCAACTAGTAGGAGCCTCTCCCCAGTTAAGATTAATTCCTTCTGCTTATCGTAAACTTACTGCTTCAAGAAACAAAATAAAGTAAGCATCACGATTTCCTCACAAAACCAAAATTATAGTATAAAAGCAGCAAGCATGTTGTCTGTTGTCATACCCTCTCCCTGATTCTTCGTGAAGCCAAAGGATCCCGTTTGTACATTAACTTATAAGCCATAATCAAATTATCTTTCAAACGACAAGGTGTGTCTTCTGCTTTGCTGCAAAGGAACATGCTAGAATTTGCAACCGTCTGCAAAAAACAGCAGCTCATACCTCGTGAGTGTTTAAGAAACAGTACTGAATACACTTTGGCCGAAGATCTTCTACCCTGCCTTGGTTTCTAGATAACAAAAGGGAAATGGCAGAGTCCAGTTTATCATTATCCTTAAAATCCTAATTTATCTCATAGAGAGGACTTCTATAAATTAATAGTGGGTGAACACGACCACTTGTTACCTGCATGATTCAAAATACTTGTATCAAATATGAACAAGAGCGATTATACAAATATGTACTTGTAGTAGTCTAAATCACATTATAAATAATCTTTAGCAGACAGTAAGAAGGGGTAAAGGGCAGTTACTTCTACCTGCCAATGATTCTTTGAATGGGATTGATGCATATAAAACCGGTGGCACAACATCATTGCAGTATCTATAGTCACCTGCGGCCTGATACTTACGGTAGTGTCATTTACCGTCTCAAACAATTGGAACAAAGAGGAAATTACACCCACACCTAGAAATAGATTTTCAATTTCAAAAAT